GCTGTGTCCTGGTGAGTGTGTGCTGGGCAGTGGTGTGCTGTGTCCTGGTGAGTGTGTGCTGGGAGGTGGTGTGGTGTGCCCTGGTGTGTGCTGGGAGGTGGTGTGCTGTGTCCTGGTGAGTGTGTGCTGGGAGGTGGTGTGGTGTGACCTGGTGAGTGTGTGCTGGGAGGTGGTGTGCTGTGTCCTGGTGAGTGTGTGCTGGGCAGTGGTGTGCTGTGTCCTGGTGAGTGTGTGCTGGGAGGTGGTGTGCTGTGTCCTGGTGAGTGTGTGCTGGGAGGTGGTGTGCTGTGTCCTGGTGAGTGTGTGCTGGGCAGTGGTGTGCTGTGTCCTAGTGAGTGTGTGCTGGGCAGTGGTGTGCTGTGTCCTGGTGAGTGTGTGCTGGGAGGTGGTGTGCTGTGTCCTGGTGAGTGTGTGCTGGGAGGTGGTGTGCTGTGTCCTGGTGAGTGTGTGCTGGGCAGTGGTGTGGTGTGTCTGGTGAGTGTGTGCTGGGCAGTGGTGTGCTGTGTCCTGGTGAGTGTGTGCTGGGAGGTGGTGTGCTGTGTCCTGGTGAGTGTGTGCTGGGCAGTGGTGTGCTGTGTCCTGGTGAGTGTGTGCTGGGAGGTGGTGTGGTGTGTCCTGGTGAGTGTATGCTGGGAGGTGGTGTGGTGTGTCTGGTGAGTGTGTGCTGGGAGGTGGTGTGGTGTGTCTGGTGAGTGTGTGCTGGGCAGTGGTGTGCTGTGTCTGGTGAGTGTGTGCTGGGAGGTGGTGTGGTGTGACCTGGTGAGTGTGTGCTGGGAGGTGGTGTGCTGTGTCCTGGTGAGTGTGTGCTGGGAGGTGGTGTGGTGTGTCCTGGTGAGTGTGTGCTGGGAGGTGGTGTGGTGTGTCCTGGTGAGTGTGTGCTGGGCAGTGGTGTGCTGTGCCCTGGTGTGTGCTGGGAGGTGGTGTGGTGTGTCTGGTGAGTGTGTGCTGGGCCGTGGTACGGTGTGTCCTGGTGAGTGTGTGCTGGGCCGTGGTACGGTGTGTCCTGGTGAGTGTGTGCTGGGAGGTGGTGTGCTGTGTCTGGTGAGTGTGTGCTGGGAGGTGGTGTGGTGTGTCCTGGTGAGTGTGTGCTGGGAGGTGGTGTGGTGTGTCTGGTAAGTGTGTGCTGGGCAGTGGTGTGCTGTGTCCTGGTGAGTGTGTGCTGGGAGGTGGTGTGCTGTGTCCTGGTGAGTGTGTGCTGGGAGGTGGTGTGGTGTGTCTGGTGAGTGTGTGCTGGGAGGTGGTGTGGTGTGTCTGGTGAGTGTGTGCTGGGAGGTGGTGTGGTGTGTCTGGTAAGTGTGTGCTGGGCAGTGGTATGGTGTGTCCTGGTGAGTGTGTGCTGGGCAGTGGTGTGCTGTGCCCTGGTGTGTGCTGGGCCGTGGTACGGTGTGTCCTGGGAGGTGGTGTGCTGTGTCCTGGTGAGTGTGTGCTGGGAGGTGGTGTGGTGTGTCTGGTGAGTGTGTGCTGGGAGGTGGTGTGGTGTGTCTGGTGAGTGTGTGCTGGGAGGTGGTGTGGTGTGTCTGGTAAGTGTGTGCTGGGCAGTGGTATGGTGTGTCCTGGTGAGTGTGTGCTGGGCAGTGGTGTGCTGTGCCCTGGTGTGTGCTGGGCCGTGGTACGGTGTGTCCTGGTGAGTGTGTGCTGGGAGGTGGTGTGGTGTGCCCTGGTGTGTGCTGGGAGGTGGTGTGGTGTGTCCTGGTGAGTGTGTGCTGGGCAGTAGTACGGTGTGTCCTGGTGAGTGTGTGCTGGACAGTGGTACAGTGTGTCCTGGTGAGTGTGTGGTGGACAGTGGTACGGTGTGTCCTGGTGAGTGTGTGCTGGACAGTGGTACGGTGTGTCCTGGTGAGTGTGTGCTGGACAGTAGTACGGTGTGTCCTGGTGAGTGTGTGCTGGACAGTGGTACGGTGTGTCCTGGTGAGTGTGTGCTGGACAGTGGTATGGTGTGTCCTGGTGAGTGTGTGCTGGACAGTGGTACGGTGTGTCCTGGTGAGTGTGTGCTGGGCAGTGGTATGGTGTGTCCTGGTGAGTGTGTGCTGGGCAGTGGTGTGCTGTGCCCTGGTGTGTGCTGGGCCGTGGTACGGTGTGTCCTGGTGAGCCTGTGTATGCCAGGAGGTGGTGCGGTGACTGCAGCTGCACACAGGTTGGACCCCGCCATCTAATCAGGTGTGGTCTGGCTCCTCTCCTGTTGGGGACAGGAGACTGACAGCAAAGTGGGCCTGAGTTCCCTGGAAAGTGCACAGGGCTGCACAGGGGCTCAGGAGGGCCTGCAAGCCCTTTGATGTGGGAAGGCCGTGGAGACTGAGGGTCCCTCACCACCCGAACTGGAATGGGGAGTGTGACGAGGTCCCAAAGTGTGGCCTACAGATCATCGCCAGCACACAGCAGCCTGATGAAAATGGGTGTGCGAAACACTGGCTCCAGCAGAAAGAAATGAGGGGCATCTCTAACATACCCCAGACTGAGTGCACAGGAGCCCTCTGCTCACAAGAAGCTGAATGCACTAGGGCTCCCAGAACACACTGTGTAAACCTTAGGTTGTCTCTCCTTCTCACGGCCCAAGTGAGGAGGAAGAGGAGGGAGAAGATGGACGCGAGCCAAAGTTTCCAGAAGTCTCATTTGTCAGCAAACTGAGACTTCCCTCAAACGTCAACCACATGTTCAATCTCTGCAATTATAAAAGCTTCGGAAGCAACCTGGATCTTTTTCTTCTTGAGAAGATATGCTAACATTATCCAATTAACCCCAACAAGTTTTCAGAAAATGGCTAGGTTCACTGGAAAATTCTCTTATCTACCCTTGCAACACCTGGATTCACTGTATGCGCTTTTATTTCCAATGGAAACTGTGTGTATATGTGTACATGTACATACTACTGGAAAGTGAACCCAAACCTTGCACTTGCTAAGCAAGTGCTCTACTGCTGAACTACTTTTCCACTTACAAAAATGTTTTTAGACATTTTGAGACAGGATCTGATTCTGAACTCACAATACAGCTTCCTCAGCCCCTGAACACTGGGATTACAGAAATGAACTGGGACACCAACTATGGTGCAGATGTTGACAGATGGCAATCTGAGTGGGCACGGTAGGTGTGCTGCCCGTTTCTGGCTGCACTATCTCTGCCACAGTGACGATGAGACTTCAGATGGGTCTCCCAGACTCAGCTAGAAGCCACCCCAGGCTGTCACCAGGGAGACCTCATTTCAGGGACCCACCTGACGGAGGTGGCCTTGTGCTGGGCAGCCCACGGGGCTGAGGGTCATGCGGTCTCACTCCCTCTACCAGTCACCTGCAACATGGCACCCAAGGCACTGACCTAACCTTGGTAAGCCCCAGTCTCTACACAGTAAGACTAGATAGTATGGACCTGTCTGTAGGCCCGCTGAGAGGACTAAAAGAAAGAATAAATGGCTGTCACCCAGAATTGGCAATGTAAGGTTAGTGTGAGAGTAAACTAATGGACTGGTTGTGACCCACAGACTCTTTGGATCACAAAATGGGAAGTCAAGAAATACTATCAACGGTTGGCCCCAAACCAGCATTGGTGGCTCACCCCTGTTACCCTAGCTTCCGTACTCAGGAGGCTGACATCTGAGGACCGTGGGATAACTGCCTGGCATCGCTGTCGTTGACCAATCCCAGAAACAAACAAAAATAAAACAGCTCTTGACTCAAGATGTCAACAGCTCTGAGATGGACAGGAAAAAGGGCTCTGTCACCAGCATGAGTCAAAGACTTGGCTGGAGCAGGCGCCTCTGTCCATCACTGTGTGCCATCTCAGGCCTCATCCATCACTGGTGGCCAAGCTCCACCAACACGCACGAGGCAAGCATCAGACCTCGTGCCAGCGGAGAACCTGACCAGCCTTTCAAACCGCACGGCCTGTCTTGGCTCTCTAACCATGACTCTGAAGGAACAGGATCACTCAAAGGAGCTCTGAGTTCTTAGAGGTAGGCAGCAAGTGCCAAGCAAGGGGTCCTGGTCACAGCTCCCGGGGAAGCCTAAGCAGCCTGGCCTCCAGGTTCCACGTCCAGCTCCAGCCTGGCTCCCCCACCCAGTGCAACCAGCTTAGATACCGCAACCCAGCAGCCACCTCTGGCATCTGAGAACTCGCTCTCTAACCCACCTCACGGGAGGACGGTCATCTACGGTCAAGGTCATTCCATCGAAGGGCTCGAGGGAAGTTGGTGTGGCTGTACTGCTCCGGACCCGTCCCCGCAGGTCCACTGCCCGGCGGGCGGCCGGCGGGCATCACCCCATCCACGGCGCAGGCGGCACCCCGTGTCACCCACCGCGTCACCCACGGCGCAGGCGGCACCCCGTGTCACCCACCGCGTCACCCCGTCACCCCGTGTCACCCACCGTGTCACCCCGTCACCCCCGTGTCACCTCCGTGTCCCCCACCGCGGCACCGGTCGGGGCCCCAGGGCCTAGAGCTTCCCAGCAGAGCGCGCCAGCGGCCGCGGGCCACCCACCAGGCCTCGCCTTCCCCGCGCCGCCGCCCCACGCAGATCTGCGTCCCGGAGGGCCGGGGCGGGGTGAGGCGGGCGCGCGACCCCCGCCCCGCCGGCCCCCGCCCCGCCGGCCCCCGCCCCGCCGGCCTCGGCCCCCCGGCCCCCGCCCCGCCGCCCCCCCGCCCCGCCGGGCCCCGCCCCGCCGGCCTCCGCCCCCGCCCCGCCGGGCCCCGCCCCGCCGGCCCCCGCCCCGCCGGTCTCGGCCTCCGCCCCGCCGGCCCCGCCGGCTCCCGCCCCGCCGGCTCCCGCCCCGCCGGCCCCCGCCCCGCCGGCCTCGGCCCCCCGCCCCGCCGCCCCCCGCCGGCCCCCGCCCCGCCCCGCCGCCCCCCGCCGGCCCCCGCCCCGCCGGCCCCCGCCCCGCCGGCCCCCGCCCCGCCGGCCCCCGCCCCGCCGCCCCGCCGGCCCCCGCCCCGCCGGCCCCCGCCCCGCCGCCCCGCCGCCCCGCCGCCCCCCGCCGGCCCCCGCCCCGCCGCCCCGCCGCCGCACTCACTTGAGGAAGTAGCGCTGGCCGGCCGCCGTGAAGGTCATCTCCCAGCCGGGCGGCAGCGGCTCCTCGGGCAGGTCCGTCACGTCGTAGGAGCGCTGGCGGAGGTGCGCGTGCGGCGCCCCGGCCGCGGCGCCGGCGCCCGGCGGCAGCGAGGCGGGCGACGAGTGCGAGCGCACGTGCTGCGCGGCGGCGGCGGCGGGCCGCGGGCCCGGGGGCGCGGCGGGCGCGGCGGGCGCGGCGTGCGGGCCGCCGCCGGCCGACGAGTCGGTGCTGGACTGGCGCGAGTGCGCGCCCGAGTCGGGCTCCCTGAAGAAGGACTCGGGCAGCACCTTCTTCCGCCAGGAGCTGGGCCGCGGGCTCATGACCGCCGTGAACAGGGCCTCCAGGTCCGTGTCCAGGTCCCGCGTGACGTGGATCACCTGCTGCCCCGGCGGGGGCGCCGCCGACGGGTTCATGTCCGCGGGGAAGGCGCGGGCGCCCGGCCGCGGGCCTGGCGGCTACCACGCCCTCGGGAAGGCGGCGCGGGGCGCGGGGCCGAGGGGTCGGCCCGCGGCGGGAGCTACCTGCGCGCGCCGGCCGCGGCCGCCCTGAGGGGCCGGCGGCGCGGGAGCGGGCGGGGGATCCCGAGCGGACGCGGAGCCTGGCAGCCCAGGGGCCTCGGCGCTCACATCCCCCGGGTCGGCGCGAGCGGGCAGGGGCGAGGCCGGGCGGGCGGCGGGCGGCTGCGGCTGCGGCTGCGGCTCGGCTCCGGACGGTCCCACAAACAAAGTTGGAGTGACGCCCCCGGGAGGGGCGGGGCTGGGGCGGGGCTGGCGGCGAATGGGAGGGCCGCGAGGGCGGGGCCTGGCGGCGAATGGGCGGGGCCGTGCGGGGGCGGGGCCTGCCGTCCTCGCGCCTGGGCCGGGAAGGGGCGGTGAATCCTGTGGAGTGCTGCGCTCGGGGCCGCCCCTCCCGCCTCACCCCCACCCTCCACCGGTCCCCCCTCACCCCCACCCTCCACCGGTCCCCCCTCACCGCCACCCTCCACCGGTCCCCCCTCACCCCCACCCTCCACCGGTCCCCCCTCACCGCCACCCTCCACCGGTCCCCCCTCACCGCCACCCTCCACCGGTCCCCCCCTCCCCCTCACCCCCGCTCCGCCCGTCCCCCCACCCCCCGCCCCTCCCGCCTCACCCGCCCCTCCGCCCGTCCCCCCCCCCGCCCCCCCCCCTCCGCCCGTCCCCCCCCCCCCGTCCCCCCCCCTCCGGCCGTCCCCGACTCCGGGCTCCCGCCGCCCTGGGGCGTGGACCCGCCCGGCCTCCCCCGCGGAGCCCGGGTCGCATTCCTTTGAGTTGACCGCGGACTTGGGGCGGGATCAAAGGGAAAGTGTTTCATCCGGGCCTGTGCACCGAAACCCGCCCGAGGGGCGGGGGCCGCGGAGCCGCGGGGGCCGGGCCGGGCCGGGGTCGCTGCCGGGGCTCTCCGCGAGGCTGCGCAGCGCGGACCCCCGACCCCCCGGACCCCCAACTCCCCAGATCCCCCACCCCCCGGACCCCCAACTCCCCAGATCCCCGACCCCCCGGACCCCCAACTCCCCAGATCCCCGACCCCCCGGACCCCCAACTCCCCAGATCCCCGACCCCCCGGACCCCGCCCGGACCCCCGACGCCCCGGACCCCCGACGCCCTGGACCCCCAACTCCCCAGATCCCCGACACCCAGGACCCCGCCCGGACCCTGCACGGACCCCGCCCGGACCCCCGACGCCCCGGACTCGCCCCGCGACCGCGCCCCCAAGGTGGCTGGGTGTCCTGAGGCGGAGGGGCCTCCGCGGCCTGGCTGACCCCCGCGCCCGCCGCCCCGCGCCCTCCGCCCCCCCCTGCCCTCCGCCCCCCCCCCGCTGCCTTCCGACTCCCCCCCGCTGCCCTCCGCCCCCCCCCCGCTGCCTTCCGACCCCCCCCCGCTGCCCTCCGCCCCCCCCCGCTGCCCCCCGCTGCCCTCCGCTGCCCTCCGCTGCCCTCCACCCCCCACTGCCCCCCGCTGCCCTCCACCCCCCCACTGCCCCCCGCTGCCCTCCACCCCCCCACTGCCCCCCGCTGCCCTCCACTGCCCTCCATCCCCCACTGCCCTTGCTGCCCTCAGCCCCCCCCCCGCTGCCCCCCGCTGCCCCCCGCTGCCCTCCGCTGCCCTCCACCCCCCGCTGCCCTCCACCCCCCACTGCCCTTGCTGCCCTCAGCCCCCCCCCGCTGCCCCCCGCTGCCCTCCACCCCCCCACTGCCCCCCGCTGCCCTCCACTGCCCTCCATCCCCCACTGCCCTTGCTGCCCTCAGCCCCGCCCCCCGCTGCCCCCCGCTGCCCTCCACCCCCCCACTGCCCCCCGCTGCCCTCCACTGCCCTCCATCCCCCACTGCCCTTGCTGCCCTCAGCCCCCCCCCCGCTACCCCCCGCTGCCCCCCGCTGCCCTCCGCTGCCCTCCACCCCCCACTGCCCCCCGCTGCCCTCCACCCCCCCACTGTCCCCCGCTGCCCTCCACCCCCCCACTGCCCCCCGCTGCCCTCCACTGCCCTCCATCCCCCACTGCCCTTGCTGCCCTCAGCCCCGCCCCCCGCTGCCCCCCGCTGCCCTCCGCTGCCCTCCGCTGCCCTCCACCCCCCACTGCCCCCCGCTGCCCTCCACCCCCCCACTGCCCCCCGCTGCCCTCCACTGCCTTCCATCCCCCACTGCCCTTGCTGCCCTCAGCCCCCCCCCGCTGCCCCCCGCTGCCCTCCACTGCCCTCCATCCCCCACTGCCCTCCGCTGCCCTCCACCCCCCACTGCCCTCCGCTGCCCTCCACCCCCCACTGCCCTCCGCTGCCCTCCGCTGCCCTCCGCCCCCCCGCTGCCCTCCGCCCCCCCCGCTGCCCTCCGCCCCCTCCCGCTGCCCTCCGCCCCCCCCCCGCTGCCTCCCGCTGCCCTCCGCCCCCCCCCCCCGCTGCCCTCCGCCTCCCCGCTGCCCCCCGCTGCCCCCTGCTGCCCTCCGCCCCTCTGGCTGTCACCCCTGAGCCAGGCCACGGCCCGCTCTCGCCTGCTGTGGTTGCAGGCACGAGGTGTCCGCGGCCTGTCCGCCAGGCCTGGCATGGAGCCCGTTCCTGACCTCAGCCCGGGTCTGAGCACAGACATCCCTGCCGGCCTAGTTCCAGCCAGACCCCGCCCGTCCACAGCCAGCCCGGCCTCCAGCCGCCCCCTTCCACACTCCCCAAAGGGGCCTTCTCAGCCCCCCACCCCACTCAGGAGGAGAGCAGAGAGGCCGCATCCCTCCGTCTGACCCGAGGCTCTGGAGGCGCTGACATCTCCCACACCAGCTGACCACATCTCCCACACCAGCCGACATCTCCCACACCAGCCGACATCTCCCACACCAGCTGACATCTCCCACACCAGCCGACATCTCCCACACCAGCTGACCACATCTCCCACACCAGCTCACCACATCTCCCACACCAGCTCACCACATCTCCCACACCAGCTGACATCTCCCACACCAGCCGACATCTCCCACACCAGCTGACCACATCTCCCACACCAGCTGACCACATCTCCCACACCAGCCCACATCTCCCACACCAGCTCACCACATCTCCCACACCAGCTCACCACATCTCCCACACCAGCCGACATCTCCCACACCAGCTGACATCTCCCACACCAGATGACATCTCCCACACCAGCTCACCACATCTCCCACGCCAGCTGACATCTCCCACACTAGCCAACATCTCCCACACCAGCTGACATCTCCCACACCAGCTCACCACATCTCCCACACCAGCCGACATCTCCCACACCAGCCGACATCTCCCACACCAGCTGACATCTCCCACACCAGCTCACCACATCTCCCACACCAGCTCACCACATCTCCCACACCAGCCGACATCTCCCACACCAGCCGACATCTCCCACACCAGCCGACATCTCCCACACCAGCCGACATCTCCCACACCAGCTGACATCTCCCACACCAGCTCACCACATCTCCCACACCAGCTCACCACATCTCCCACACCAGCTGACATCTCCCACACCAGCCGACATCTCCCACACCAGCTGACATCTCCCACACCAGCCGACATCTCCCACACCAGCTGACATCTCCCACACCAGCTCACCACATCTCCCACACCAGCCGACATCTCCCACACCAGCTGACATCTCCCACACCAGCTGACATCTCCCACACCAGCTGACCACATCTCCCACACCAGCCGACATCTCCCACACCAGCCGACATCTCCCACACCAGCTGACATCTCCCACACCAGCTGACCACATCTCCCACACCAGCTCACCACATCTCCCACACCAGCTGACATCTCCCACACCAGCTGACATCTCCCACACCAGCTCACCACATCTCCCACACCAGCTGACATCTCCCACACCAGCCGACATCTCCCACACCAGCTGACATCTCCCACACCAGCTGACATCTCCCACACCAGCTCACCACATCTCCCACACCAGCTGACATCTCCCACACCAGCTGACCACATCTCCCACACCAGCCGACATCTCCCACACCAGCTGACATCTCCCACACCAGCTGACCACATCTCCCACACCAGCCGACATCTCCCACACCAGCCGACATCTCCCACACCAGCTGACATCTCCCACACCAGCTGACATCTCCCACACCAGCCGACATCTCCCACACCAGCTGACATCTCCCACACCAGCTCACCACATCTCCCACACCAGCCGACATCTCCCACACCAGCTGACATCTCCCACACCAGCTGACCTGTCTTCAGAATGCCTTTATGCACACCCCCACCCCCGAGCAAATGGCCAGCGATCCCTCACGGTGCCTGTCCTGGATCTGCTCACAAAGGTCCTCCAACTCCACTATCTTCATCATTCTTTTTCACTAGGTCTTCCCTGTTCTCGGACTAGAAATGAGCACAGCACCGCTTCCGGCAGTACCTCAGCCACGTGTGCATACACTGCTTCACGAATGGCTCCGACCTGGGACACACATCTTTGCCCAGGGCCTAATAGCAAACCTTGGGTGGTTTTACCCATCGCTCCTTCAACACCATTGGTGCAGCTTCTAACAGGCCTTCCTTCCCTCTTCTGGCCCTCCCATACCTGACCAGGATCTTCAGTACCTGTGGCCATCTGGCGCAGAGGCTGTGGTCTGCCATCTTGGCCTCAGGAGAGCTTTATCCGCACCCCCTCCCCCTGGTGGTGGGGTGCTGTGGTTGGAAACGTGGTGAGGTGTCAGTCCTTGCAGCAGAACCTGCTCAGACTTGCTGGGCCTGTGTGGAGAGGATTCACAGAGGCAGCCTGGGTCACCACCGGCAACTGGAGCAGAGCAAAACACATCAGGGCCTTGAACAGAGAGAGATGGGTTTGGATAATTTCTTTAAAGCCAGAAAACCATTGCATAAAGCTATTTTTTAGTTCCAAATCGAGATGAGAGTCCCTCGACACTTGAGCAGGGCACTGCACATCCAGCATACAGCACCAGTATGTAGAAAGGCGCGGGGACTTAATCCCAGACCAACGTGTGCTGCGCCATGTTTGCACTGCTCTCCCAGCCCCCGCTCCTTGTTCAGCTTCACTTGCTATTCTGCTTTATCCTGTCTTATTCTTTTTCTTTAGGGGGCGGCGGGGGACAAGGTCTTGCTATGTAGCCCAGGCTACCTTTAAAAGCTCTCCAGCCTCCTGCGTGCCAGGACTACAGGCGGGCACCACCCTCCGCGCACTGCATTGTTCTTCCACAGCCCATCACAGATGCACTCGTAGAGATAAAGAGGAGATGGCTCTGCTGCTGCTATCTACTGCTTCAACAGTGTCCTGGGGCAATTACTTTCTCCAGACTTTTGTACCTGTATAAATTATTATCCTTTATTATTTTCACTATTCATCTCTTTTTTTAAAAAAATTACATTATAAACAGCAGAAGAAAATGCCCGAGTGTACCTAATAACTTAATATGACCTGTGAGATGTGTGTGTGTAGAGTATCTAACCATTCAACAAAGACTTTCTTTAGGAGGCAGTGTCTGTTGACCAGAGTAGCCTCAAACTCGTAGGCCCACGTGACCGTCCTACCTCGGCCTCCTGAGTCTTTGGGCAAATGCAGATTGTTTGGAAGCTCACTATGTATAGGAACGGAAGTCAGCTTCAAGATGAGCTTGGAAGAGTCTGCCCCTGGTAAGACCTTCATTGGCTGGTGATGTCGTAAGTCCTAGGTCTGGTTTCATCAGCTATTCCAGCCACCTCTCTTCCCTCGTCGAAGTTTTCCGGTTGACCGAAGGCAAATACTACTACTATCTCTCTAGTTCTGCATTGTCCAGACTCAAGTTGGGCTGCTTTTCCTGCCTCGCACAAGCAAGGTCCTGAGCTGGATCCTCAGCCCTACAGAACGAAGAAAGCAAGGTCAATTTGTGGTCTGGAACCAGTAAGAAGAGATAACCTACCAAGGCAAAGCAGGATCCAGAGCTAGTGTGTGATGCAGCTCACACGTGACGTGAAAGCAGACACAGGGCAGGCTTGACTTCATCCTCACAAAATGACTTTAAAAGTTTTTCCTTAAAATGTGTTTTTTTTTTTCAGGCAATTTTAGAGAAGAGGATGGACTCATTTTCATACAGTGTTTGACCACAATAAACCCTAATTTGACGCTATGACTGAAGACATGATCATTAAGGGTTGTTAGTATACCAACAACAATAATTAGAAGTAAATACATATGTGTACGATCTCACAGGTACCGAATTCATGCCTCAGTCTCACAGTGGGCCTGGGAGTGGGTGGGCTGGAGACCAGACTTCTAGAACTGCGGCGTTATACTTGAGAAAACCCAGGTGTCAAGACGTTCGTGTCTGGACAATGGAGTCATGCATACTAAGAGAGCCAAGACCTGAGCTCTCCTTACCTCCCAGGCTTCCAAGTTCTGCTGTCTTCTGACTTAATGGAATCAGAATCTTAATTTCTTCCTCATCAGAACAGACACTGTCTTTTCCTGGAGAAGTAGCCTGACATTTTTTTTCTCCAAGAACTTACAGTATTTCACAGATGCCCTGACACTAATGATTATTCAATACTGCTCAAGTTAAAATGGAAGTTTAGTTGTCTCCTCCCTCTGGTTAAATAAGTGAAAACTCCAATGTGTGAGAGAGGCACTTGCAGTGCAATAAACCCTGACTGTGGGAACAACTCTGTGCATCAGAAGGGTTTGTGAGGTGAGTCATCACTAACATGAAATGAGCAGCCCCTGGTTTGTTTTTCTTCTTTTTTTTGAAGCTAGTTGTAAACTGGTCCTTTGGAAGTCAGAATGTGTTTTGTTATTGAAATAAAATATGTATTTTTAATGATAGCTAGGCTCCCCAGTAACCTGGCGTGCTGCAAATCCTTGAGGAACTCCAAGTTTGGATGTGTCCCAGGACTCTGTGGCCTGGAGGTCTCCACTAGGTTCTTAAGAGCTAAACAATTTCAGGACTGCGTGGGTGCGAACCTCGCGGCATAGTACAGGTCTACTGACTCATCGCCGCCCATTGTTTTGGCAAAGATAGGCAATGGAAGAAATTTTACTGGCCATTCTGTGAATTTCCTCTCATGCTCCATGATTTCCTGTTCCACAGGAAGAAGATTCTGACGGTATTTGTTCACAGGACTAAGACATTTTGGTTAAGTGAGAAGATGCCTGCGCTTTCCCTACTGATTTATTTGAAAATTCTAATTGTCCTTTTTGTTGTGTAGGGTTTTTGCTGTTTGAGGGTTTGGGGAGCTTTTTGGGGGAGGGGTGTCTTACTATGAGAGCCCTGCCCCAGTCCTGGGTAGCTGGACTACAGAAGGACCTGGGCCACTATGCCCTGATAAAACTTTCTGTACCTACTGCCTATAAGCTTGTGGTCGCGGCTCTTTTCTGGTAGAGACTGCCCAGCTGGAGGTCAGCACAGGATGCTGTGCTCAAAGTCTGGCTACTTGGCACTGAACCCACAAAAATAAAGCTGGCTCGTGACTTTTAAGGAAAAACACCTCTAGATTTTTAATCATGCAGTTTTCTGGCAACCATACAAGACTTTTCCTTCCCAACGAAATATGACAGTGTGTACCTGCCAACAGGGAAGGATGAGGTGTTCGTGGAACGTGTTTAAATCCATTCTCAGATAAGCCATCTGCCTGTTACACATTGCCCCACTGTGGAATGAGCTTTCACCCCAAATCACATCCAGTTCCCGGTCACAGGCAGGAGGAGGCTCTTGCGAGACCCCAGGCCCCTCACCACACCCACGCCACTCCCCACGCTTCCAAACGTGGTATTAGGGTTTGAAGGCCCCTCAGAAATGCTCAGAAAGCCTCGCCCACTGAAGGTCAGCCTCACAGGCTTCGGGATCCTCTGGTGGATTTCCGGGAGCCCTGGCCAGAGGGGTCACTGCAGAGCCACCCCAGCAGGGGCCGACATGGAAGAGGGGGTCCTCAGAGTCACCTACAGCCTTCAGTAGTCCCGGCCTTCACCTCTAGACTGGCTTTTCACAGCCAGCGGTTTTGTTAGTATGCAAGAGGTAACTGGAAGCCCACAGCCAGGGGTTCTCCTGGCAGGGGACCTTCCCCATGACCACAGCCTCCCCCCATGGAAACCCTGGTCATTCCTGCACCAGGCCCCCGCTGGGCAGCAGCCGGGAGCCCGCTGAAAACAAGGGTGCTCTGTCTTCCTCGTCCGTACTTCCATCTGAACCCGGGAGGACCTCACTTAAATCAGAAATTTCCATTCTTCTGAAA